AATTAACTACATGCTGAGACAATGCAAACTTAACAGAAAGAAAAATAGTATTTGAATTGCCTTTAGGTGTGTCTGTAGTACCCAGTAATGAGAATCTTACTGTTTTAGCCGATATATGCAAAAAACCACTACAGCTGTTCCCTGTCTTCAACCCCCATGCCAAACGGTACACTTTGTGTTGCAAAGAGCAAATGGTACAAACAAATGACATAAAAGAAAAGTGAATGGCTAAGAAAATTTTTTAAAGGGACACTTAGTACAGTAGCAGCAGCCACAGTTTTATATTTGCCTAGACACTGACAGATGGTGTAAGTCTGTAAGCATTAACAGCACAATGGTTAAAAATATCTGCAAGAACATGAATTATTTTATGGCTTTTTTAAAAGGGATTTTTTTATGTAAAGAGAAAGCAACAAAGACATTTAAGGACAAGCTGACTATTGGGCAGCAAATACTAGAAATGTAAAATATAACAAAAACATTTAATGAAAACATCATTGTCTCTTGCAGGACCACTCAACTCTGTGGGCCAGGAGCCTCATACAGTCCAGGGGGACAATATATCTTACCTACCATCCATTCACAGAGGTAACTGAGGAGAAGACCGAGTTGACTGTATCAGCATGTGACCAGCCACCTTCCATTTCAGACCGTCTTTGCAGCTCACTACTCTTCCCCTTGATCATGTTTTTCCACATACCTTTTAATTCTGCTCAAACACAATAAGTCTGATGCTCCCTACTTATTTGTGTGCGGGGCAAGACTATACTACCTGCAACCCTTGCTAAAAATCAAGAGAACAGCCCACAACATAAAAAAATGGGAACACTACTCCCATAGTGGACAAGGTCATATTATGATGTATCTAACTTCTTGTCCTCCACATAACATATCTGCAGAACTAAAACAAGAGTGGATGAAGAAATCTTAGCATCTAGAGTTATTTGGTAAATCATCAAGTCTAACTCCTTAGATACAAAAGACATGAACTAGAAGACTCAACTATGTTATGCAAATAGGAGAGAAAGGTTCTACCACACACTTTCACTGAAGAGCAGGAAGGAAAGTTCTCAGAAAACCCCAACATCTTTTGTATGAAGCAAAACACAGGCAAAAATTCCCTTCCCTACCCACAAAATAGAAGTCCGAATGGACACTTTCAAGTCATGACAATATCCTAGCTCTGTTAACGTTTTAATTCAATGCAAGAAGAAAGCAAAACAATCACAACAAACACTGACTGGAGAGAACCAAGAAAAGCTTGGCGTAGGTGGGGGCATCTGCCTAAATACGACAAGCATTCCATGTCTGTTCCTGGCCATCAGCTGTCAGCAGATCACACTTAGCACCAAGACATGAAGACTAATATTAAATTACACTTAGATGAAGCAATGGGGAAAAAAATCAAAAAGGCCTATTCTCTTTGCTGTCTAAGAAACTGTGCAAAGTCACAACAATGAAACCAAGGATTTTATGCATGTGACTTTAGAAATAAAGAGATACATCAGATGCATGGATCTGGATTTGAACCTGGATTTGACAACTGGGGAAAATTCATTTTTAGAATTTTAAAAATGTTACATTAATGACTTGTACTCATTAATCTAAAATGTATTAAACCAAATAGATTACAATTTTAAACATACAAAAGTGTCACATTGTAATTCCAGCATCCAGAAAAAGATACGTTTTAAAAAGATCCAGGAATTAAATGTTCATGAAACAAAAATCCATCCAGTTTCAGGTGTGGAACAAAAGTGAAGATGCTTGAGACTGCGCAGCCTCCTAGATCCTCAGCTGAGTTCCTGAGGGCTTATCTATTTTTTTTTAAAGGCACCTCAAGTAAAGGTGTAAAAATAAAAAGTATCTTGGAAAGATTTCTTTTTTCATCCTACTTTCTTCACTGTGACTAAAGCCAGTTCTCACGATTTTTCTATAAAATGTTAGCCGAATATCTCATTCACAGATTGAACTTAAATCCAGCTCACAAGTCTAATCAGTGAGAGTAAAGGACTCTGCTCCTGTTGATGCAAGAAGAAAAAAAATATATTTTTCTAAACAAATAAATTTAAAGGTTATTTGTTTTTAAAATACATTCCACCTGAGATGAATTCAGTAGCTTCCAATCTTTTAGCAGAGCCCTTGTTTGAGAAAATTTGCAATATTCTGGACCTGACTGGGTTCTGTGGAGTCTTTGGTTCTAGTTCACACTTCAAAAATATGCTTGTACTTCATTACTGAGAACTGTTAGACTAGAAACAATCTATATAATAAACACAACAGTCACTCTTTTGACGTGTTATTGTCATTTGTATATATAATAAGCACACTTTCAAACTGTAACACCATATTCTAGATTTCATCTTCTAAAGTAGCGTTGGAAGCCTTCAAAAGCATCCAGAAGACAAGAATGGTTCAACACAGAATTATTCAACAAAATTATTGTAATATAATCTATTAAAAACTTGAAAGCCATTTATGAAATATTGCTATTAAATACTTACAATATCCTCTATTATCTCCTTCACTGCAGCTACAGCTAAAATAAATAAGAGAGGGACCAATGTTGTATAACGGCCTGTTGGTGATACATCTGGTATTTGCTACAAAAAAAAAAAAGAGAGAGTGAGAAAAAAAAATTGTTTGCATTGCTGGTTGAAAACATATTTTTAATACAAGAAGCGGCACCTTCTGTGCCAATACAGACAAGGCAACTGGATCCACTTTTTAGACGTAGTGCTGATTACTTGTGAGAGGGTTACTGTTTTCCATCCAAAAGCAGCTGATACAATCAAACAACATTTGCATTTTAAATAGCATAGTATTCAGTGGAGATTTAGTGTCTACAGAATATTCACCTTCCTTTTCTCTTTCAAATTAAATTAAAATACATATTTATAAAAACCAAATCATTTTTTCAGTTTAGATTTTTGTTACAGTGCACCCAAGTAAAGGTATTTTTACTTCCCTACAGTTTTAATCTCTAAGATTCATAGAATACAAAAAACTACAATCTGCTTTATCTACTTGAACAACTGCAAAATTAAAGTATTCTGGTATATCTGCAAAACATTATGTACTTCTTCAAAAGAAGTCTCAGTAAGCTGGGTCAGGGATAGCCCTTTACAAACACACTGAATGAAGCTACAGTGGTGGTACAGAAAAGACTGTGTTTCCTTCCTAACCAGCACGATTAACCAACTAGGACAAGAGAAATAGCTGCTGTAGTACTGGACTCCACTGCTGTTTTTCTTAATCTAGGCTCAACTTCAATCCTTATCAGCTTCACTATAAGAATAATAACCACTCCTCCTCAGCTGCAATTCCTGCCCCTCAAAACAGACTACAGGATTAAAGTTCATAAAGTTCAGGTTTTTGGGCAGTACCCTCCATTATGAGAAAGACAAACTACAGGTAACATTTTTCTGTGTGTGCCAGATACTTTTAAATGGGATTTTTCTGTCACAACAGTCTTTCTCACCTGACTATTTCAGCTATACTTAAACTGTTTTACAGAAAAATCTTTGTGTGGATAGTGTTATCTCCAAGGAGTAAAAAAACAAACAAAAAACCCCCAAACAAACAAACACAAACCCAAACGTTTATTAAAGGTATGTCTACACGATACAGCTATTCTGCAAAGCTGATGAGCTCAGAAACAACGGTACAGCAACCTCAGTATCTCTGCCAAACACTGTCTATGGTATAAATGCTCTTTCAACAAGTTTCAAACATTAGCTGTCTTACTGTTGATCTTACCTGAAGTAATGCGATAAAAAGAAAAAATGCATTAGCAGCTCTTCTGAACTGGGAATAAAGGAACCTTGGCAGGAATGTGATTATGTTGTACTTTGCAGTGCTGAGAGAAAGAGACAAAATCATGCATTATTGTTACAGTTCAAAAAATTCTTCAAATATGTATCTTCCCTCTCAGTTACACAAGCTTTCAAACAGAACAGAACCTTTTGTGATTCCTGGGCTAGCAAAGAGATTTGTTTCGGCTAAAAGAGAAACTGAAAGACTTGTACAGAGACAGTTCTGCAGGAGTCCATGAACTGGCTAACCCAGGGAAGCGCACACCACCCACCAAAACCATTTCAAGGAGGAGAGGAAAGAACCATAGAGAAGGCAGCAGCCAGGTGGTCGCACCACCATTGAGGGAGTAGGCAAGGCAAGGCCACAGGCCCGCAGCTCCTGGGCCCAGGGCAGTGCGCTACCCCTCAAGCCATGGTGTTCACTGGGCAGGGAACTCTGCACAACAGCTCCAGTTCAGACAAAATCCTTGGGGAAAGATGTATAACAAGGAGGGTACTAAATCAGGACTGAGGAGCTGTGGAGCTTCTGCACTGAGTATGAGTTTGCACAATTCAGTGCAAAAAACTAACAACAGGATCAATGGAATTGAAATGGTGCGTTTAAGAAATAATTTAAATAATAAAAATCTATT